TCATGAATGCTTGGATGTTGGCCAGTATGACTAAGTCGAGTTCGCCATGTGATAGTTCCATACAGTTATTCAAATTTACAAGTACAGCTGCTTCCGAGAATTGTTGAGAACAATGACCACCTTTAATGCCCCGAGAACATCCGCATCCAGCTTGAAGAAACTGTTTCACTTTCCCCACGATTTCCTCTTTGTCAATTAATAACTCAACTTGATCGCCTTCATCCATTTTGGATCAACCGTTCAAAAATTTGCCACAGCCGTTCGGCCGTTCACCGTCAGCCGTTCAAAATTTTTCTACAACCGTTCAGTCGTTCACTGTCAGCCGTTCAGCCGTTCACTGTCAGCCGTTCAAAACTTTTCCTCAGCCGTTTACCGTGAGCCGTGAGCCGTTCAAAAATTTTCCACAGCCGTTCAGCCGTTCACTTTGAACCGTTCAAAAATTTTCCACAGCCGTTCAGCCGTTCACTTTGGACCGTTCAAAAATTTTTTTCAGCCGTTCAGCCGTTCACTTTGAGCCGTTCAAAATTTTTCTTCGGCCGTTCAGCCGTTCATGTTAGCCGTTTCAATCGCCTTGGCCATCCGTTTGTCATCCGTTCACTAGCCGTGCGTTTTGCCGTTCGTACGGATAGCCGTTAGTGTACGTTTTCGCGTGAGAGGTCACATATTTGAGAAAACAAAGTGTAGTTAGCCTTTTTACCCCTTAAGAGTGACTAGCATTTAATTCTCATTACTATGTCAGCCGTAAATCACACATTAAGGTTACGAGAATAAAGGAAATGATCACCAACTAAAGAGGTTCTTGATTGTGAAACAAGTTCTCCATGTCCGCACCTCAGGAATCCAAGTAAAGAGAACAGTATGGTAAGTATGCCTATTTATGCTGGGTGTAAAAAGAATACATAAAACATTTCAGCAAAGCCATGTCCTAAACCAAAATGTTGACAAATAAAGACACACACACTTTGCTTCAATCCAACTTCTATTTTTCATTGAATTAAATTAGAATAAGCAGATGAATTGCACCAGGCACTCATCAGCTGAAAAAGAATCTGACGCAAATGGATATAAACCGAAAAACACTCACAGAGTGCATGGTCTAATAAACTTCTAATAACAGTAATTTCTAACTCCAAAGCTAAGCCAAGTGTAAGCACTGTACAAATTTACCTATGCTCTTTAAGGCAACCATGCAGCACTTCACACAAAAAAAGTATTGGATGGTGCCAAGATTGTTGAACAAAACATTATTCAAAATTTCTTGACTTCTACACATTTTCAGTCTTTAATGTACAATAATTTGTACTCTATAAACAGTTTGGTACATGAAAAAAAGAAAAATTTGCTTTGGTATGGGTGGATAATTCACACATTAGTACAGAAGTAGGATCTGACTTAATGAATCACAAAGAGTTAACCGAGATTCTTATCATAACTCACAACACCAGCAATAATTGTATAATGGCTCAAAATCACACCATAAATGTTTCTCTGAAATAGCGAACTTATGTAAAAAGCACCTGTCTCGGAAACCCCTTCATAAACATTTTCCAACCCTTTTCACTCTCACAAGAGATCAAAAATGAATATCTCCTTACAAAATCAACACACTCTCATGTAGAAAGATATTGAGAAAGGGAGGACATTATCAACTTCTGGGGGATTTTGCACAAATTAATAGCAAACTCTCAAAGCTCAAATCTATAAAATGTGTCACCAACAATATGGATAGCTGATATTCAGATCTTGTGAATGACAGGGTCAAGAAAGGTTAGTTGTAAATCATTAAGCCCATATCATAAGTCTAATCATAGATAAAATAAGCCATAGTAAACATTTTGATGGAATATCATAACACAAAAAACCCAAAGGCATGCAAACCCTATCAAAACAGCCAGACAGAACAATCAAAAACACACTGGTGCAAAGCAGCCAGTGGGAATCATAGAGCCGAATTGAAAATTAAATGCATTTATTTGTGCTCAGAATGCTGAATGACTTTCATTTCCTTTCCAAGTAATTTTGAAGTACAATGAAGTTGATTACTGAAGGTTTTTTGCACCTGTTCCAGTGGAAGCCTCTTGGCCTCTGTGCACATCAAATTACAGCTGCAGTGAAGTTATTGCAGTTTAGAAAAAGTTGCATTTTCAACTTCAAAACACAAAGTATGAATGAAATCTCATTCCCTTAACCCTTTAACTCCTGAGATCTGATTTTGAATTCTTCCCTCTAGCAGCTGCATGTTTCCTTGTAAGTTGATCATAAGAATTTGGTGTTTAATCAAGGTAACAACTTCTATCTGATGAGTTCGAGTATCCTCTCTGGCTGTTTGCTGGATAATTAACAACTATTCACCGAAGTGGAGGTGGTTAGTGGCAGATATTTACTGAGCCACAAAGCGGCGAGGTAAATATCCACTGCTAACCACCTCCACTTTGGTGAATAGTTGTTTTAGTATATACTAAAACAGTGAGATAATATACACCATCAACAATTAATTTGAGTTATTTCCTCGCTTGCCACGGGTGCAAACTGGGATGCCATTTTTTCCCCGAGTTGCTTGGAGGTAAATAGCAAAGGATATTCAGAGGTTTGACTAGCCAATCAGAGTGCGCCTTCAGTGCTATCCACTGTTTTAGTATATATTAATGTATGGATATTATAGGGAGAAGTTACATGTTAATCACTTCTGGGAGTTGAAGGACAGCATTGACCAACCTACTAAACCACTGAAGAAGGAGAAACCTCTAAGCTACCTTTACTAACCACACAGAAAGACAGACATTCTACTATCACCACCCCCTGTTCTTTCCTTGCCCAAACTAATGCAAACTTGCTGATACTTCTCAAACATAACAACTGATTGAAGATGATAATTCAAAAGTTTTCCCAAGATTCCACTTCTTTACATATCACTGCTGTAAGTTGTATGTATGTACAATCATTCATATTCACAAATCCCTAAAAGGAAACAAGCAAACCTGCCCAGTCAACTCTCTTGTAGCATGAAAACTTTGCTGGAGTGTACTTTGCATGTAGGAGATGGTGGGAAATAATTACTATTACAGGAACAAATTACATTTAATTGATTTAAAATGACCATAATTTATGCTAGGAACTACCTTAGCAGTTTTCTCTTCAAATGCTTAACACTGACAAGGAATGATTTCGAGTGATATTTGCTTCCCCTCCCCAACTCCAAAACGGTTTTAAGATGAGCATGGTGAGTAGACCTGCCCAAATACAGCTTATGGATAATGATAATTGATTCATGTGAAGTATTCAATGAGTTTTTTAATTGACTGAAGGTTGTAAATTTTTGTGGGATTTTTCTGCAGAAATTTTTTTTTTGGTCTTTTGAAGAGAGAAGACTATTTGCAATATCTGCAAAATTAAAACCCTCAAAATTTTCATGCTACAAAGTTCTATATCAACCTGGGGTGTGTGTGAGTGAGTACAGTATTATAAAAACACACATTCTTTGAATTATTCCATAAATGAAACACCACTGTCCAATTATCTTTGCAAGAGGGTTTCAAAGTACCATATTATGCCTCGAAAAGTTATTGAAGTTAAACTTTTCATCAAAAAAGTTTAAAACTAAAATAGGTTGAAAACTATCAATTCAACACAGACTTACGCATAACAAAAAAATAGTTACACTGATAACTAAACTTATAATTTAAAATTTCATAATAATTACTATGTACATTTTGCTAACATCACGAGGAGTATGAACCCTTAAGTTATCTTTGTGAAGAGATGTTTTCTACATAATTTTTCCGTGGTGACATTGCTTCCACTAAATATAATTAATTGGCACCAATACTTAAGGTTGTCCTAGTTGCTAGGATTGATCAGAAAAACAAATTCATTAGAATACTTTACCAATGTATACAGCGTAGACTCTAAAGATTTCTTTGCAGGAAAGAATGCACCGTTAACCTTTAAGACAAACAGTAGAGAAAACTTGAAAAGTGCAGAGGGCTTTTGAAGAGCTTCAATCCACAATAAAAACATACTGAAGTGTAGTAACAATGTGCCACTCCATCCATCCATTTTAAAGATGACATTTAGCTTGAATTCTGGATAGGTGTAGAGGACTTTCCAAATGCTCCAATATATAGCCAAATGAAGTGATACAACATGTCACGAGATAACTCAGTTGCAGGATAACCTTCAGCTTGCTATCATCATGGCAAATTTATGGCAATAATAACACAGCCATACTAGCATGAATTGCAGGTTTACACAACTGAAGTAGGAATCCACCACTGCTTCAGCTTTGTAACCATTCTCTTGATGCCACAGGGTTCCACATCTACAGGAAGCACTTAGTATCACAGAGGATAGAATTCTATATTTACAAATTTGACATGTGTTGCTCCAGCTGTACACAGTGACAAAAGAACAACTAAAAACTGGATGTATCAACAGCATCCTTCTTCCTTGTGGCTCCAGGAAGAAAAGGCTCCATTCTACAAAATAGGCTGGCTTTCTTGGCAGTGTTCACTGGTAAAATGTCATTCCCTGCAGAGCCTTTTTGCACACTAATTTAGTGGCGCTTCATGTGAAGTGACAAGTGATCTGATCTTGAAAAGCACCTGTCACAGTGCGCACATTTAAATGGCTTTGCACCAGTATGTTTTCTGTAGTGTCTTGTAAGTTCATCTGAGCGAGCAAAGCGCCATGCGCAACCTTCCCAGGAACATTTGTAAGGTTTCTCTCCGGTGTGGGTGCGCCTATGAGCCTTGAGATGTGAGCTTTTGGTGTAAACTTTGGAGCATCCTTCATAATCACATTTGTGGATTCTTCTCCTTTTCATATGATCTGTTTTACTACAAAACGATAAAGTGATGGTCAACTTTAAGGTCAATTTAAACACAAGAGGCAAACAGGTGAAAGAAAAATAAACGATTATTTGTTTTGTACTTACTCAGCTTTGCGAGTCTCCCTTGCACTGCTTACGTTTGGTTCAGTCCTGGATGAAAAGAATTTGAAACTGTTCATAATAATGATGCATTCAATATTTTGTACAGTGCATGTGCCTACTCCATTTTAATATGCTCTAATGCAGTTTAAAACACTAAGCAGGGGGAGGGGGGGCCTAGGCAAGGCTGTGCTCTAAGAAAAATTAAAGGGAGCCCAGTGCACTGAAACTGTGAAATCCAGGGTGCCCTGCATATGCTTTATATGAAAAAACTAAGATTCCTGAGTTGCCCAAGAGCAAAAGTAAGGCGCAAGGGGCCACCGGGCGCTGCTAGACCACAGCCGTGGGCCTAGGGCTTATTGTCCTTATCTCAGAAGACTAGAATCTCCAACTATTTGCAGATATCAATTGAAAGCAAAGGCAGCACAATCTCTTCAGTTTTTTTAAGATCCGTTGGTTCAGTCTAGAGCTTGATCCCTTGAACTCTAGCACAGCAGTCTGGTGCTCTTCGACTGGAGCTAGGTAGGATTTTATTTCCCTACAATACAGTTATCACCAAAGGTAACAATGTCAGCAACACAAGAAAATGCAGACTCACTCATCAAAAAGAACTGGAGGAGGAGAGTGTGTTCTGTCATCATATTCATCTGCTATCATATATTCTTTTAGATGATCCCCTGGAGACACAATGACTGTTGGCGCGTTATCAGTGCCATTACATCTTCCTCCATATCTTCCTGGAGAAGCTTCTGTAACCTTATTACAAAGAGCACGCTGCAATGAATCCACTTAAGAATCTGACACATGGCTATAATATAGTTGCAACTCCTTGTAATTGAGGAAATCCTTTAACTTATAATCCAGGGCTCAACACTAACGGTAGCCTGCTAGCCACAGACTAGTAGAAATTCAGTTTTGGCTAGTGGTTTTCAGTTTCCACTGACCAGTTTGGCTAGTAAACAAACTGACATTGTTGTAGTATCTACGATGTCACCAGCCACTTGGCTAGTAAGTTGAAAAGTTAGTGTCGAACCCTGTAATCAATGAAGGCAGTCCTCTTAGCTTTAAGAGGTAACATAGGAGGTGTGAGTAGTCCAGTGGTCAGTGTGCTGGACTCTGAGTCGGTTGGCCCGGGTTCAAGTCCTGGCTGGGGCATGACGTTGTGTCCTTAAGCAAGACACTTCACTCACATTGCTTCGTCTTCTCGGATAAGACGGAAAGCCGTAGGTCCCGTCTCCTGCAGGGTTAGGGGTAAGAGACGTAAATTTCCCATGCACGAGATTACTGTGTGGTGGATCTCCTCCCCAGGGTGGGATGGACTGAAGCGGCTGCCAGAGGCGCCTGATAAAAATGCTGACATCTGATCTCAACCTTACGATACTGTTAAGCGCGACTGAATATATCCATATAGAAGTCTGCGTTACATAAATGTAAAAAAATGTAAAATGTAAATATGCACTCTTCTCTTTCACTTCTAGATCCCCATATAAAGGTAGACACCAATTAACCCAGCCTTTAACTCCCTAACCCTTTGGCTTCTAAGAGTGACCAGTATCTAATTTCTCCCTCCAGAACTGTTGCTAAATCTTTCATTATGATCATGAGAATTAAGGAAATCATAACCAACCTAAGAAGCGTTGATTGTTTAACAAATTTTCCTTGTAATAACAAAGAGTATCAAGAGAATGGATACTGATCATGATGTACAGGGAGTAAAGGATGAAGAGTGATGAACAAAGTGGTTGTTTAAGGGAAAGGGTAAAGGTAAAGCCTACTCAAGAGCCATGCGGCTTGTCGGGCCGGCACTTAACTTCGGTTTCCATAGCATGAAGCAACTAGGAGTATTCTACCCCCCCCTGTGGGATGCTAGTCCATCGCAGGGTTACCCCCTGTATTAAATTCGCCGGTGCCCATTTAATACACCTGGGTTGAGAGAAGCACTGCGAGAGTAAAGTATCTTGCCTAAGAACGTAACACGATGTCCCTGGCCGGGGCTTGAACCCGGACCACTCGATCTGGAGTCGAGTGCACCAACCACGAGGCTACTGCACCTCCACTAAGGGAAAGGGTAACCCCAAGCCAAAATTTACAGAGTGGTCACTGGGAGAGAGGTGACAGTGGAACTCTTCCTCAAGTTCAGAGCTTTAAATCCAAGAGAAAAGTCAGTTCTCACTTACCTTGTACTCATCATCATCTGTAGTAACAACTCGAATAACTGTTGTTCGTTCAATGTGTCCTTCTGGGTCAAGCTGTTGAAAGAGAAACAAAAATTGAGATTTTCTGGCAATCAACACAAATTTAGTATTCAAAAGATATAAATGTGAGCAATGACATGTAACTATGTCAGGATTTAGCAAGAAATTGAGTTATATTTAAAATGTCCTATGTCTCAAACTCAAAAAAGAAAAAACGTTCAGTCCACTTTCAAGGAGATTTCTACACACTACATGTTACTACAACTGTCAACTGACTCATGCAAAAAAGGATGCACATGCCTTACCTGGATGACATGAGGTTGAGAGAGACAATTAGCAGAACTACAAAAAAAAAACAAACAAACAAACAAAAACAAAAACACAACTGTTATTATTAATCTACCATTTTATTTTTCAACTACCCCAACCCTTGACTTACCCATTTGATGCTGCCAGAAGTGATTAACATGTAACTTCCCCCAAATATCCACAAGCTTATCCGATAGAAGTTATCTTGAACTAACACCAAATTCTTACAACTGAATTACAAGGAAAAGTGTTGCAGCTAGGGAGGAGAATTAAAATTCAAATCTCGGGAGTTAAATGAGCTACATCAGAGATTGGTGGCAGGAAAGTAAAAATATTTTCATAACTAAACAAAATTTGTTCTTTCATCAAAGAGAGAGAGAAAAAAAAAACTCTCACAAAAGATATACTGTAGATAAAGTGTAAAGTACTGTAATACATTTATGAAATAAAAGCTCCTTTAGTGGTTCAAGGTTTAGTTTTAACATTTCACCCCTGATATGAAATCTAATTCTCCTTTCCAGCTTCCATATGTTTCTTTAAGACTAGTTATGAGAATTTGATCTTGTATCAAGAAAATACTATAATCCATGGTATTTGTATGAAGAGGTTACCCATACAAATCAACTGTGACCCAGATCTAAATGACAACTCCTAACTTAAAACTAAATATCACTTCTCCTCACTGCTCACCATAAGTTCCTTGCCATTTAAGCCTTGATAATTTAATATCAAATCAAGCAATAACCCCTTTTTGATACCTTGCTTTCTCTCCATCACCATAATTCTTAAAAAAAATGTATTTATATTGTAAGGAGTTTTTGTTTAGTCATTCTTAAGGGGTGAGAGAAATAAGCAGTAGACATAGGTATTAACCTATTGGCAGTAAACTACAGTCCTTGTGACTTTCAATCCCAGAACCTTAGAAAGGACTTATTTTTTCTGTTTTATACAGAATCTTAAAACATTGAAATTGGGCCATACTTTAAACAGTACAGAATGATAAAAGATAAAGACTTCCGAGGGTAATGAATCATTTTGATACCAGCCTTTCTCTGGCAGAATTGCTCAAAACTAAGTGGGGGTGAAGTAGTCATAGTTTAATATAATTCCTGAATTGGAAATAGGTTCCCACTTTCACTGTCGTTTTGAAACGCGGCAAGGTTAAGGGAAAACTTATAGCAAATAGGCTTCTTTTCTGCTATTGCTTAAATTGCAGCTCATCTATGAAGCTTTATGTGAGGAGATGTACTTTGCTCAACTTTGAAGAAACACTAATTAGGATCAGATCCAGCACAAGATTCTCAAAAGCACCAAAAAAAAATTATGTTGAAAATAGTGGAGAGAACTCTTTCAAAGTTGATCACAAATAGACAGAGACAACTATATTACAGCTTAGCTGTGAAATAGTGTGGAGATTTCTTAGATGTTGGCTGCTTCTAGGAAAAAGGAAACATGCAACTCAGAAATTAATCTCATAAAACCCATTTTTTCATCTAAACACAACAGCCGTTTGCACTTTATTACAAATGAGAATGCATGATGCTAGAACTGAAGACAGGAAATTAATTACCTTCCTTGTGGGACCACAAAATTGCAAAAATTCTGAAACATGTCATCAAAGCTGTCCTTTAAAGTTTGTAAAACAATGCTACTGGAAATGTCTAGAGACAATGTCAGCAGAACTACAAAAACAGCTTGCAAAAATTAATTTTGAAGCTATTTCTTAGAATCTCTATAATTGTTCCATTTTCTTCATGAAAAAATGTGTAATTCAATCTGAGTTGTAAAGGGTGGAGCTCATAATTCACAGATTGTTGGGTGGAGTAGTATGCAAAACACCCAAGCCAAAGACGAATCAAAATCACTGATCGGCTTCAAGAGAAAATAACAGAAAATTCAAAATGAAGCATTTAGATTCATCGAGACCACAATTTGAAATTATCTACTCCAGGGCAAATCAACTAGCTTGGACACAACAAACTGATATTTCATTAACAAAAAAAAGAAACTAGGTTTGATCCTCGTATGATATCTTCAATCCAAAATATTACTTAGTATAAATAACAAGCAGTAGACTCCAATTTTTTTTTTCGTTCAAATTTATTTTTTTAAATTTTACGAAAGACAGGTTATAAAAGGAGAGCCTTTTTTGAAGTTTTCCACAGATTTCTCTTTCTTACTTAATTCACATTTTCTTAACAATAAGTTATACAAATCATATCATATGCAATGAAGCATCAGGAATAGGTTTGGACAAGCTAATTACGGTGAACCCGTATTCTATAGTTCGAACATCAATTACACCAATTCAAGACTTCCAAACCGGGAAGAACAACAAAACAAATATAAATTTACGATCTAGTTTTACAGTATACAGGAAAGAAAATTATCGGGAATAAACACCAAATATTTGATTCTCGGAAACGCACACAATTTCTCCTGTTTTAAAACGAAAATCAGACGAAAGGTTCCTGCTCTTGACAGGAAATGATAAACGCGAGGTCTCCGAGTCACTATAAAAGACATTGAAGTTTTAACATGTACGAGTTCATGTTCTCTGTTGTGATAGATTAAGATTACACCACATCCAATCGCTCGGGTTTTACGTAGAAATAATTATAAGTTAAAACGACGAATGATATAAAATTGCTTTTCGTCTTCGATGTCGTAACAGGACCAAACATTACGCTCAAGAAATTATGCCCACTGGTTCATAGGAAGTTCTAATATCGATCGTTGTAAACTTATCAAGTTTACACAATTCGAGTTAAGTTATAGAGCGTAAGGAATATAGGATCTCATTCCTTCGTTCCAAACGGTTATATTCAAACTCGAAAATCAGGATAAATCGCAATAGACAGGTTGGGATGCGCATAAACTAATCCAAATTGCCTCGGAATTTCAAGGATTCTGCGTTTCCTGTTTGAGAAATATCCGCAAACTTCGGCAATAAAACGTGGCCTTTCGTAACGCAGGCTAAATTATTGGAAGAAAACAGAGATATCGCAATACGCCATTAGCTCACTAGATTGAATGAGAGGGAATCAAGCGAGAAAACCGCTCAAAGAAAAAAATACGAATACTTTTCAAACCGCTAGAAAGCCTTTTTAAGTGCGTGCACCGACAAATTCGCCGGCATCGATCGCGTCGCGGGGGCAGAGAACGTAAGTGAAGGCTCAGTCCCTCACACTCGGCTTTTCTGACTCATTTACGAAAGCAATTCTTTCAATTAAAACATTCCTTACCCTGAAATTTGGTTGCAAGCCTCACAGGTTCCCCTTTCTTCTGAAAAAGTGAAAAGCAGAAAATATTTTACTTTTGTGTAACACTCGTCACATCACGAAGCCATTGTATTCCATCCAAGCAACAGCGAGTGCGTGAAGACAAGGAAAATTTGTCAAATTTCCTTACCTTCTAGCAGAGATGCATCGAACTGACAGGCTTGATCTTGTGTTTTCTTCGCTCGCTTCTGTATTGTCCGTGTATGCGTTGAACCTTCTTCACTCGACGCCATGTTTCTGGTAGCTAAACGAGATACGACCACACCCGAGCAAAGCCAATAAACCGCACTTCCCAAGGGTGAGGTGGGGTGGGGACTTGTCACGTCCCCTAAGGAGTGGCTGGTAAACTTTTTTTCACGTTACACTTTTGGTGAACGAATAGGTTTTGCCAATAGAGTCGTTTCATACGCCTACTCGTCTCGGGGAATTTTGATGATTAAGGTCGTTGGACACTCAACCTACGCGAAAGTTAGCTCGTGTTAGTATTCGCATTCATCAAGATAAGACACCGCCCTTTGAGGGGCGTGTCTGCCTGTGATTGGTTGAGACGAACAAAAATCCCTTTCTTGTCGTCGGTCGTTATCAAACAAGCTCAATTTATGCAAATGCATTGAAATTTGCGTTGTGGCAACAAGATTTGACAAGAATACGACGCCTTTTCCGAACGAATTGAAAATAAAAGTTTTGAATTTGCAAGCCGAAACTCTATGTGCCCACGCCCTGTTTTACTAACGAAACTCTCGAGTGTGCTCGGCACAGCAAATGAGGAAAAAGAAAAGTTATATTATTCTCGTGGTTTTTTTCTTATAGTGAAGGGTTTGGGTTGTCTTTTGTTTTCAAGATATCTCCATATGCGATGTTGAAGTGAATTCTAGTTGCGTAGCAACAGAGTTTGCTTGAAAAACATCAAACTCCTGAAAAACCGTCTCCAAAAAAAAAAAAAAAAAATAGACGCTTTTCGCTGTTTCTTTCTTTTTTTTTTTTAATTCTAACGGTGATGCGTTATCTATCGTTCAAAAATTAAATCTTTGAAGGGTTGGTATTTCACGTTCGATCGACCGGCGTGAACTTTTCAATTTTGGGGGAGGGAACCCCAATGAAGTGGTATGCATTCGGCTGCGAACACCAGGTTGTATATTTGCGATAGATGTCCACGAAAACCTATTTTGAATCCTCCAGGTAAATTAATGGTTGCTATGAAAAAAGGAAAGCCGTACTACGCATACATTTTCAATTCTGAAACGTTCTTTAGACAAGTTCTTTCAAAACCTGAAACGCTAAAAAATTATTTCAAGCGGTGAATGATAATACAACGGTGCGATAATTACGGGACGTCGAGACTCCTTTTTATGATAAAAGAATTTTAGATACACAACTTTATATCATTACAATCCCTTTGCTTAAATTGGTCCAGTACAACTCTAATGACAGGAAAATGTTGCGTTAAATGTTGCGTTAAAGCTGGGAAACAGTTTATCATTTACATTCGTTTTAGCGGTTTATCGATCAGCAACAACAATTTAATCGAGCATACAGAAACTTTCTTCGCACACAAGAAAAACCTTAATCTCCTCTGGCTACCTGAGATCAGTGACCAATAATCTTGAATATAAGAAAAAAAAAAAACCCGGTTTTGAAGCCCTCAAAAGAAACGCGATAGTTCGAGACGTTCCGAAACGGAAGGCATTGTAAACGAGAACTTAGAGAATCGTCATAAAGGTTAACGAGACTTCGAAAATAACGGTCTTTTCAGGATACCATTCGCCTCTCTAGCGAAATTGTGCTCCTCATTTGTATATTTTGTAGTAAATATCTTATATTTCTCTCAGCGTGTCCCTATTTTCTTCAAACACTCTTTTGATGAAACAGTAAATCGAAACACTAGGGAGGCTTTGTTCAAACTAAAACATAGTTTTGACCGCTGTATATGTTCACAACCGCAAGGTAACCACAAGTGACATTTCTGACCTACAGTAAGTATGCTCGTGTTTCATTCATCCCCCAGAATACTTTGCGAAAAACATGTAAGCTGTCACGTTCACAAAAATTCCTAAGAACCAGCATGAGACATTTGCGAACAATTAGAAAGGAGAATGCATGTAATTTGCGAGAGATGGAATTACTTTCCTCCCGGGTCAAGGTCAATTTTTTTATCTTTCCGATGATTAAGTTTCTATTAAGCTTCTTCACTCTCTTCATACACTCTAGTGTCAGTGTCCAAATTCTCTATAGTATTTTCTATTCATTTCCTTTGCTACTAACTGGTCAATCCAAGTGTTTTGAAGGCTAGAGAAAATTCAGTGAATAAACTGTGTGCTAAAAAAACTCCTCTCTGATTTTTGTACGTCGTTGATATAAGCCAGTGTTTCATTTCCCTAAGCGTGTGTGTAGAATCCAAGGTAATACAAGAATGCATCGTTGACATATGAGGGTCGCTATGGTGTAATGGCTAAAGCACGGTTAAAATTTTGGCCATTTTACGGCTAACGGTTAACCCAAAATGACATTCTAGAAAGGAAACAACTTTGACGCTTAACTTTTGTTAACACTAACGGTTAAAATCTGTCAATTGTTACGCCCATAGCGGGTAAATTTTCTTGGCCGTTTTACTGGTAACGGTTTTAGACCTCACAGTATAGGACCCATATAAGACTTGTGAAATGAAAAAATTCTAGCAGTATTACAATACTCGGCCGTGATCAGTTCGTGCCTCATGCAGATTTGTTTGTTTTTCTTTAACCGTTCAAGTCCCGTTGAAGGAAAATATTGAATCTAAGCGACAGAGCCATAAGAAGTCCATGAGAAGCCGCGAGAAGCCTCAGTCTACTCTATTACATTTCCTCGCTCCCAATTTTTGCGGCTCCGGATCCGCTGCTCCAACCTCAAACAGAAATTCTAGAAAGCGTGCTGTTCACAGCGGGAAAATAAGAAACGGAGGTTTCGCAATATTCCATTTGATTGTTTACATCTTCCCGCTATTTTCAGATTTATTGACCTTCTTTATAAAGGACTGCTGTGTGCGACAATATACGCGTTCACAAACGAGTTTAACTTGAAAGTATAGAAGTACAGAATTACATAAATGATATTTTTTTTTAGTGAAAGGTCATCAGTTAAAATTTGCCAAAACACGGACATGCCATTTTTTTTTCTTACAAGGAATGGGTTCGCTTTCTTCACGTGATGCCGAAATCGACATAATCTACACGACAGGCGTATTTTTTCACTTATTTTTTGTTGCCATTTAATTTCCGAGCCGTGGCAAGCTCGAAGGGTGTGTCATACGCAAGACGAGGTCACAAATGGACCAAACCTATTCTGCCTATTCTAGCGTGTGAATCACCCTTTGCGCGTGTATACGGGTGATGAAGGCCTCTCTGGAAGCTACCAGGACACTTTCGAAGGAAACTGGATACTGATGTTAGGGGACTGAATTCTGTACAGTTAAGGTTGGAAAAGTTTGCAGGGTAATACATGTGCATGTACAGGCACAAATAATTCTTGCTTTAGCGAAAGTAATGTTTGCTTTCGAAGGCTTAAGTAATAAAGTTACCGAGAGATTTTGATGTGAGTAGTATGCAAAAAAGGTGCTTTTTCATTTTAAGAGATTACCCACCACTAGCGGTAAGGTCAAAGGAAAAAAAAAGGTGGTCAAGACGGTCGGCTTAGTAAATGTATAGAATACATTTGATGTTACCGGTTAGAATTACAGTGACGCCTCGGTGCCTTCAACTATGTCGGTCGCATCCTGGAAAAAAAGCTTATAACAATAACACAAAACCCTGACAACGCCTTGAGAGAAAACTACCCATCTGGTGGAGAGAGAAGTTAAGAAAATAAAACTAAAAGTAGTTGGTGCTATGATGTCTTTTAATTACTGAGTGCAAGAAAACTGGCGTAGTTTCAAGCTTTCCTAAGTAAAAAGGAAAATCAGTCTTAAATATTCCTCTCATTAAAGCTGGACTTGTCGCTATCTAAAAAAATCTCCTTATTACAACATGCTAACATTTTTAGGAAAAGAGTCAAGAAAGTATTTCTCATTTATTCTCTTACGAATATCCTCTTCTCCTAAATTTACAGTACCAACGAGCCACAGCGACCAAGAACCCTATAGACACAATGGAACGCATATTTGAAGCAGGTTGTCTCCCAAAGTCGACAGGACCTGGAGAAGAGGCATAATTTTCATCATGGCGGACGGAAAGCCCTGGTTTTACACAATACGAAAACACAGGAAAAAATCAATTGCTGATGCCCTTTTTGCTGGATGGTTGATGAATTATGGAGCTAATAAGTACAGGCAAGATTTTTTACCAGCTTAAAAATAAGAAAAAAATATTATCAATGTTTTTGTACATACATGTATCACTATTTTAACATGAGATCATTAAGTCTTGGCCTGCCCGTAGAAACGCAGGATTTTCCGAAGGTTTTCCACGAATTTGATGTCATTTGTCTTAATTACTGTTGTTTTTTGTTTTGTTATTGCTGTTGTTGTTGTTGTTTTCTTTTTTCTTGACTACCTCGCCTAGACTCCGGTATTTTTGAAATTAAACAACAACGAACCCTTAAGAATTACCAGCATGTAACTTCTCCTGACAATATCACTTCTGAATTTGGGAAATTACCACCATTTGAACAAGCTCTTGATTGTGGAAAAAAATTCTCGTTGGGAGTACCATAGGAAATGTATAGAGAACAGTATGGAGAATATGCATACTGATGTCAGACTGTGAAGGGTTCATGCTGGAAGATAGACTCTTCTTGGTTTTGAGAATACTTTTAAAGATCAAGGAGTGGGGTATGGTTATTTTTGGGGAGAAAAGAGGGCTCATTTATCATGCTTAACTCTTATTTTTTTTTTAATAGAGAGTACATGATAAGGAGAGAACTATGCCATGAAGCAAAGGTAGATGAAATCTTCAGAGTTTGTTTGTTGATAAAAATTAGAGGAATTTAATCAGTGTTCTAGACCATCTTGAGGCTGTCTTATCTCAGGTGTGGGATATGACAAAATCAATTTTCCAATATTCTTTAAATATTGATATAAATACATTAAATGGTTATATCAGTGTTTTTTCATTTTGTTTTTATTGATAGCCCATGTTGAGAAGCATTGTGACAGAAACTTCTCATGGACCTGAGTTCTAACTCTCTCACCAGGAAGTCATTGTTTTCAAGAAAACTATTTTCTGAAAATGTCATCAACTTCTTGTGTTTTCTTCTTTTTTTAACAGGCTTTTGGTGACCAAACATTGCCATCATTAAGAAAACCCAGGAGACTGACCTTGGTTTTCAATCCAGCTTCTGGAAGGTATTTGTTGTAGATCTTAAGTGTACAGAATAAAGCAGAAGTGACAGGCATTAGGTTTCATTTTCATAAGAAATCAGAATTATTGATTGAAAGATGGTTGAACCTGTATTGAACAGTCACTAGGGGGAATGAAAGATGACAGCTTAATGTAGGTTTCATTTTCATAAGAAATCAGAATTATTGATTGAAAGATGGTTGAACCTGTATTAAACAGTCACCAGGGGGGATGAAAGATGACAGCTTAATGTAGGTTGACCACTTAAAACAAGTTTTGTAGAATAGATGTATTATAAAAAATGATTGAAAATTCCACTTACAGTTAAAACCTGCCTACAAGAACACCCATTTTCGGGGTTCAGGCTGATTGGGTTCTTATATATCGGGTATTTTAGGTGAAATCAGCCTGAAAGTGTTCTCAAGTGTTCTTAATTTTTTACTTCTAAAAATATGTAAGGGATTTACTAACTATAATGAAATACATGACTTATAATTGTAATTATAAGACTTTTAATTCCAAATACAGTTGTTGTACATTTGCTATACACAGCAAGTGAAGTTACTAGCATTTATACAGAGGTCTTAGTGCAATACCACAGTAAGCTACAGACACTGTTTGTTCTATTATACTGGAAAAGGAAGAGTTTTTATATATAAGAACAATTTTCAATTTTCAGGCTGAATGTGTTCTTATATGTATGCTCCTTTTTTAGCAAATTTCAGCCTGGGTGTTCTTAATCCACATGTTCTTGTATGTGGGTTTTTACTGTAATGCTATAATTGACCACTTAATTTTCAAAAACTCGTTCTAAAATATGACTTACTTTGACTTTGCGAGAGAAACATTGATTACAAATTTTGTGAAAGATTTTCCAGTCAGTGCAGGAGGAAGACAATGCAAACAGGCTGTCAGGACATAGTAAAGGATGAAAACAGCTGCTTAATGGGAATGAAAATTATTATGATTAAGGGGAAGCAACTGCTAATTACAGGGGGAATGCTTAAAATGATGCTAGCCAATATTGGTTCACATAAAAGTATTACATGAACACCTGCTCTGAAAAGATATTATGAATATTAAGCAGCTTGTCTTATAATTAATACTACTGACACTCCATTAAAATGTGATTGATTCCTTTCAGTAGCAGTGCAGAGACTTTGTTGAAGAAAAATGCAGAACCAATTCTTCATATAGCAGGGCTCGACGTTACCATTGTTAAGGTAACAGATTTTCACACATTTCAATATTTTGAACCTTTGGAAAGAGGTCAGTTTTCATACTATTCGTGGTTTTGTCTTTCAGACAGATTACGAAGGACAAATTAAAACCCTGATGCAATACATTGATCCTAAAACAGATGGCATTATTGTTGCCGGAGGAGATGGCACACTACTTGAGGTCAGCTAATCAACTTAATGATGCTTTTTTGTTTACCTACATGAAATATTGGATACCTACTCTACAAAGTCACAGGGAGATCAGGTGTCCTAACAGTTAATGAGCTGGACTCTTTAAGTCAAAAGGTTTGGGGTTTGAGACCTGGTGGGACATTATATGATTGTCTTGTACCGTTTTTAGTGACTCCGTTGCCAGCCCTGTTCAAAAATTACAAACTTTCCTATAAGCTCACTCTAAGCAAATTTCTTTCTTGCACAAGACCAAAGCAGGCAATACTGAGCAAGTAAGATGGGCCCAACTTGCCTGCTCAGGTAGGCAATCAGAAGATAGGATTTACATCTTATTGGTACTGCTAGTGATATGAGAAGATGTGTTTTTGGGTAAGACAATTATTCTTAAAGTGTCTTTCTCCACCCAGGAGTACATATTGGTACTGGTGAACTGTTGGGGAAGCCCAAGGAAATGTTGTGGGGAGGGAGGGGAGGGCTGCGATAGACTGACTCCCTTCTAGGGGAAGCAGTAATTACTACTGAAACTAGGTATAAGCTGTAGCTGGATTAACCACTGGGCTTAAATGCAGAATTGCAGACTTGATTAATCTACTGTAGAAAAGCAGAAAGAATGCCTGATTGGAGGTTACACTTGAGAAAGATATAATTCTATGAGAAAGAGAGGTTTGAATTAGAACATAGCTTACTTCGTGTAATGCAATTTTTTTTTTCTGTCCAATAATTTTGTTTTTATTGCTTAAGGTTGTGACTGGGCTGCTTAGAAGAAGTGATCAGGTAAGTTGTCAAACCAAGTATGCACGGTCTTTAATCAATAAGATATAAACCATCAAAATGGTAACTTTGTCTTTTTCAAATTTTTTTGTTTGTAAAACTTGACCTTGTGCTTATTTATCTAATTATGTGTTACTTCTAGGAAGAAATTTCTAAGATTCCCATTGGAGTTATTCCCCTTGGGGCTCATAATTCTCTCTGTAACTGGATCTTTGCAAATAAAAATGCTATGGAAGCCAGGTAAGGAATTGATGGCTCTAATGCTTAATTTGCATGCAGTTGTTAGTGTTGTCATTGTCCCAGCACTTGTTATATTTTGTATTATTAAAAACTAGATCATTGGATAATGCAATTCAAGACTTTTTATTGGCTTAGCCATTATGGTATATGAGCCAATATACCGTAATCTAATTTCTGTACATTGTAACATCTGGTTTCTTCTTACAAAATAAAGTCGAGAAGATTATTTTGTCTAATATCTTGGGGGCGTTTTTTTTTAATGAAACAATTATTCCACTCGCACTTGTTGGAATATGAAATGATTATAGCCAACTCGGTGCTACGCGCCTTGTTGGCTATCTATCATCTTCTATCCAACGCATGCTCGTGGAATAATTGTTAAATATTTGAGCATAAAACATTCAACTCTTTGAAAACCTTAAGATCCCATTCATAATTCTCTTCTCTCTACAGTGTAAGTTTTGTTGCAAACTATTTAGGAGAATTGGATGTAAAATCGAGATATGAGGGTATCTGATTTGAGTGATGATTTTGTCTTTACTTAGTAACTTTTGGTTAACTGTAAACAAATTNTTTTTATATCCTGAACTTACCACTCATGGCAATGTATTTCAAATTTATAATGATATTTAGGGACCTGTTCAAGTTCTGTTGAGTTCTGAGCCATGTTAATAGTTTTTTTGCCTTTTTATTGTCACAATATATAAGGCGATCACAGAATTGAATGGAGATTTTCAATTTGATGCCTACTTCTACTAGGTCTTTTTCACTATATATTTCACTGTTTGCTGTAGTTGAGGTCTCAAATTAAAGATAATTTATTGATGGTCATTTTTTGTCTTAAGTGTGTTGACTTTCAACCTACTGTTTTCAAGATAACACGAAAAATTGCAGACATGGTAGAAACAAGACAAAAATGGTCTCGGTTTCCAATAGGGTCCTGGGAATAGGGGCTGGTTACACATGTGTCCACTGTGGGGCTTAAAGGGTTATAGCCAACTCGGTGCTATGCGCCTTGTTGGCTATCTATCATCTTATATCCAATGCATGCTTGTGGAATAATTGTTAAATATTTGAGCATAAAACATTCAACTCTTTGAAAACCTTAAGATCCAATTCATAATTCTCTTCTCTCTACAGTGTAAGTTTTGTTGCAAACTATTTAGGAGAATTGGATGTAAAATCGAGATATGAGGGTATCTGATTTGAGTGATGATTTTGTCTTTACTTAGTAACTTTTGGTTAACTGTAAACAAATTTGTAAACAAAGTTCAATTCTTGGTTTTCACACGACATCATCAAATATTAAAAAAAAAAGGAATTAAAAATCCTTCAGAGATTTAAGTTTAGTTAGTTATAAGAACAGCTGAAGAGTTATCTTTTTACAAATGTTCTGTATGATACTATTAGGATTTTTCTTGTTGTGATATTAATCAAAGGTTAAATTCTAAGCTTTTGCTTGACACCATGTTAAAATTGCTGCTGAGAATGCTGTCCTGTAGGTTTAAAAAAGTGACTTAACCATTGAGATTTTGCATCTGTACAGTCCCTGTATGAGAATAACTTCTCATATAGATATTGAGGAGCCCTCAGAAAATGGCTACAGGCTTTTTATTAATAACAAAACTCCGTGACATAATAAGCTTTTGTTAGTTTCTGGCAGCCATATTTGTGTCCCTCAGAGGGACACAAACATGTTGTCTCCATACATTGATGATGGTGTGACAGTGAAAACCAGCAATAATGAATGAGTAGTAGTAGCGTAGAGGCAAAAAAAAAAAAAGACAAGGGAGGTTTGCGTTGGTTGTGTAATGAGCCCAACCTGACCCATTTCACCCTGTTTTTTCTATTGCATAGTGTCCTATTTTGCTCTATTTTATCAACTGATTTCCTGGAACAGGCTATTTGCAGTAAGATAATCTATTTATTATAAAATTAATATACTCAATATCGAATGTCCAATTTGTTTACAGGACAATTGGAAATGCAACATTGGCAATTGTTAAGGGATACATTAAACCAGTGGATGTTATGGAAATTAAGGTTTAGTTATGATGCATAGAAATTTCTTACTACATTCTTTTGTACATCAATATATTTAGGAATTACAACATTTTTGTTCACAAACAATATGTTAGCTCTGTTACCCATTGAATTTACAGATGCTGTTGTGTTTACCTACCCGCCTCAACTAATTTTCAACTAATTGTGGGTACAGGCACTTCTCAAATTGTAATTGTAAAATCGTAAACTGTAAATCAATAATCAAAATTGTTGTAAATCAATAAATTGTTGTTGTTGTTGTTGTTTTTGTTTATGCTTCTATTAAGGGTGCTGAAGGTCGTTCCACATTTGCAATGACGGTATTTACAAATAACTGTATTATTGCCTTGATCCCTTATTTGATAAGTATGTGCAAATCTGGCAATTACTGTGAGTACAAAATGAAGCTGAACCTGTAATAATTTGTTCTTATGGCAAGGGAGTCAGGAAAGAGCAGTAGTGCTCCCTGAGAAAAAAGGAAAATGTCCAATTGCAAGGTTTACAATGCTGTTTTTTTTTTATTTCTGATCAGTCTCTTTTTTGATTATTTGAGGAAGATTTTGGATTGTGGGCCCATTCAGAAGAAAACTTTCCTATCTTGTGGCAGCTATGAAGGTATGTTCAACGTATGTTCTCCCCATTTTTGTAGCACTTGCTTGTAACAGTGAGAGTTAATTTTTTTTTTGCTATAAACCATGTAACTTCCAGGGGCCATTCACTTCTAAAAGTTCTGTGGAAAACGTTTTCTGTGACACCAAATTAACTCACACAAGGTCTCTGAAATTCTGGTTTTAATACTAACAACTCCACTCGCTTCTTGTGACAACTACAAAAAAAACAAAGAACGTCACCAAAACGTTCTGCACGTGGTAAACTAATCTGAATAAGGCAAGGCCGCCAAGTCACACTCGTCATGAGCCGTCACGCAATGCAAACAAAACATTCTGAACATAACTTCTGCAAATTTCAAAATTAAATTCTTCAGTGCACATGTGGTGAAAATCTTGTGCAATTTATTTCCAAAAAAAGGGGGGTGTTTTCATGATGTAGCATCAAATTCTCTTTAACCCTTCCACTCCTGAGATCTGATGGCTAGCACCATCACTGCCCCCCCCCNCCCAAACTTAGGAGTTTGTGTGGGTAATAACATGATTTCGAGTGCAATTTGGTGATAAGCAGGCTGGAGTAAATTTCTGTAAGACAACAAAATTGCACAAGCCTGTTTAGGGCAAGTGCAATGGCTAGTCTTTGAAAAATTTTACATTGTGCTTATTTCCACCAAAATGCACAAGAAATCTTGTCGTTACTTATTATATAATTTACATAAAAAGAACATCACACTAAGTCAAGACAGACAAAATTTTGATAGCACATGCTCTAAAGGTAATTTGCAGTAATAATACAACTTTGCACTTGTGTTACATGAAAAATGCACTTGTTTTCAGCCAATCAGGTGTGCACAGTGTTTTCATGTAAAAAGGGTAAAAACTTCATTTTATGCTTTTCTTGTGTAGGACTGGCCTCCTTTCATTGATACAATACTATCATACCCAACAAGTCAGTCAGTACAAGACATGTCAATAGACATTCCATCAAGTTCACAGCAAGGAGCTACGTCCCACAGTTTTGCAACTGCTAACTGTGACAGCCTCAACCAGTCACCAGTCAGGTGTCTTGACAATGAAGGAAGTTGCGGCACCATCAGTAATGGATGGATTACCAGTTCTATCCAAACATTTGGCTTGTCTGTGGAGCCATATAGGATTGAAGATTACCTGGTATGAGACATTCTTGGAATGTTTTCACGATGTTATACTTAGAGGAAAATGCTAACAGTTACCTTAAGTCTGTTTGTTAGTTTCTTGTGTGAGCCAAAATAATAGTAAGTGTAATATTTTCATTTGCGGGTGGATTTTGCAGACTTCTGATGGTTTCCTTAGAGTAGATGTCTGGCCATCAGAGCTCACTAAGACTGAGTTCATTCAGAGTGGGTAGGTTACATATTAATTAAAAGTTTTGATGTTTTGAACCCTGTAACTTCCAGAAGTGATTGACGTGTATCTTCTCCCCATAATATCCATACATTATCTGACAAACAGTTATCTTGATCTAATACCAAACTCTCTTAACCAATTTAGAAGGAAGTGTGTAGCAGATAGAGGGGAGAATTAATCTTCAGATCTTGGAAGGGTTCACAGCAACTGCTCATTGTCTATGAGTAACCAAGTCTCAGTTGGTTTTAGTTTGAACTGTAATGCACTGATCAATTCAAAGCTTCAAAATCTACCCCCTTGAGCAACCCACAGACATTTGAATGTTGTCTGTGCCCAGGGGGGGTTAGGAATCTGAATGTTGCCTAATTGTCAAGTCTTTCTGGCTGAATAACCATGTTTTATCTTTTTATATGGAGGTCAGTTTCAAGGTAAAAAGTTCAATTTTATGAGCAGATGGCTCAGAAAAAAGTTCTACAACTCACTTGGTTGAGAGAGTGGAGTAACTTTTTAGAATTAGAATCACTAGAAGTGATTAACCTGTAACTTCTCCCTATAACATTCATATATCATCCAGCAAACAAGTACTGAGAATACTCAAAGTTGTCAGGTGGAAGTTGTTCTCTTGATTGAACACCAAATTCTTATAACCAATTTATAAGGAAATGTGTAGCAGTTAGAGGGGAGAATTAATGATCAGATCTTGGGAGTTCAAGGGTTAATTAGTCACTAGGTATGAAAATCATGCATTAGTTGTAAAAATATTAAATTGAGTTATTCTAGAGGTTGCTTCTTGACTGAGAAAAATTTTTTTTTTCTTCCAAACTGACAGGTGGAAGATGGAAAAAGAGGAAAAGCAACATAAATTCCAGACGGATGAGTCACAGAGTAATGGTCTATGTGTAGTAGTTATCACTAACTGATACATTCACTATGAAGTATTATTAAAAACTGGATCATTGGATAATGCAATTCAAGACTTTTTATTGGCTTAGCCATTATGGTATATGAGCCAATATACCATAATCTAATATTTGTACATTGTAACATCGGGTTTCTTCTTATAAAATAAAGCTGAGAAGATTTGTCTAATATCTTAGGGGCATTTTTTTTTTAATAAAGCGATTATTTCACTCGTGCTTGTTGGATATGAGATGATTATAGCCAACTCGGCACTACACACCTCGTTGGCTATCTATCATCTCATATCCAACGTGCGCTCGTGGAATAATTGTTAAATGATACAGTGGAACCTCGATTTATCATAGTCCTCAGTATAACAAATAATACCTCAGTTACAGTCTGGCTAAGGTTACTGAACAGCAAAATGTATGCCGCAGAACCTAGATGTAACAAACCCTCCATTTAATGAACCAATTTCTCCAGACCCTTGGCACTTCATTAAATTAAGGTTCCACTGTAGATAGAGGATAAAATAAATGGGTGCTTGTAGACATGGAATTTCTCTTTGAGTGTATATTAACTTGATATCTCATGAGTGGCAGGAAAGGTGAGGGACGTGTCAGCAGCTGATTGGCTGCATCAAACACACATAAGAAAACTATATCTCTGATTGTAATTTTACATGTTGACTCTTTTGTACTGTTATGGACTTTCCCAGGCTTGGAAATCTTTGTAAGACACTGTAATTTACATATTTACTTCTGATAACTAAAATGTACTATTTCAGGATGCAAATCTTTGAGGGTAAAACAGCTAAAATTGGAACCAAAAGATGAAAAGGTATATGGAAGTTTTATTTTCAGGTGGTGTGAACATTTGTAGGTAAAATATTCATTCGACCCGGCAGCTCTTTTGGCAGACATAGGGTATCTAATGTTTCCTTCATTCTTTGTAGCTGTCATGGTTTTCAATTGATGGGGAGCCATTTGAAGCGAAAGCAATAACAATAACACCTCTTCCAAACAAACTTCACTTCTTCTTCAATCCACACAAGATTCAGAGTTGAGCTGCAGTGTTTGTAGATGTGCTTGGTAAAGAGAAATGGTTATGAGTGAATGCCTTCCTTTTGTCAAATGTTATTGTTGATAAGTAAATGTAAATAGGTATTCTGAAAATAACTTGCCAGGAATTCATTGCTTGAAATAAATATTGTTACAGAGAAAAGTGGCCCTGATAAATGTGGCAAAATGATTTAAGACATGCTTTGCAGAAAAACTTGACTTTTTACAAATCATAAACTCACTTAGATTGGTCTAAAAATACAATTCTAGCAAACATTTATCTAGCAAGGGGCTGACATGTTGCAAGTATCTGCCAGAAACTCCCAAAGCTTCTATCTCTGTGAGTTTCTTTACATTCATCTTTTCAGGTTTACATTTGATTATTTGTGTATTTCTTGTTACATACACCTTAGTTGATGGTTCAACATATAATACGGGCAGGAGGTGCATTCAGGGATTGAAAAAGTAGGTGCCGAGATGAGCAAAATGTCCGTTCCTATTAAATGTCAAACTACTCAATAAGGGATTCATTATTCCTCTTTATTTTCTAGTTTTTAAACTGCATCGTTTTGATACGACGTTACCTGAGAGTGATATTGGTCGCATAAAGTGCATGCGAAAGAAGAATAAAATGCAAACCAAACCATTTTTTTGTCATGGACACATACTATAAAAGTGTCCTTCATGTTGAATAAAAACGGTTACAATGTGGTCGGGCAAAAAGTTTTGCTTAAAGGATAAAAAAACAACTCAAAGCTTGGATTGTTCATAATTTAGATATATCAACAAAGTTGAAATGGTAAATTGGCTCCGATAAAGGGCTAACGCTCGAAACATCAGCTTTTGTAATCATTACGGTGGCCAATTTACCATAATGATTTCAACTTTGTTGATATATCCAAATTATTTCGTTACCCCCACCGACGTAGCCCCAAACAGCTTCTTTACAAACTATCAGCCTTTATTCACTTGGATTGTTCAGTGTGGCCATTTTTTGGCTCTGCTTTCTGTCTGTATTTCAAGTCTGTATTTTTGCTGTTCTGTAGCATACTAGTACAAAATCAAAGCAGTAATGGTAATTGACTTGGAAGGTTTCCTCTAATAACCAGATTCACAAAGGCAATTGGGCTCAGGCCATGCCATGCCAAAACCAGTGGTATTAGTCAAGTAAGGTAAAGTCTGTTTACGAGCCTAGTGGCCCATTAGGCCAGTGCTTAACTCCGGTTTCTGTAGCTTGAAGCGACTGGGAGTGTTTCTACTCCCCCCCTGGATGGGATGCCAGTCCATCACAGGGTTACCCCCAGCATTAAATTGCCGGTACCCATTTAAACACCTGGGTGAAGAGAGGCACTGTGAGATCACAAGTACCAAAGCTTTATTTCTTTAACACAACAATCTAACTAAAAGTTTTTATTTCAACAAGGAGTCCTAACAATAAAAATGATTACAATTCAGCATGGCTTAATCTTGGGCCTCTTTTTTTCTTTTTCTCTTTTTTCTTTTTCTTTAAAGTCTGTTCTTTACTCTCAGCATCTTTCAAACTCTAAAGTTAAAATAAAACATGTAAGAAATATTAAAAACAATGAAAATAAAACAAAAAGAAAAAAAAAGGGCATTTTCCTCAAACCTCTTTGTTTCCAACATTCCTATATGGATTAATGTAGTTTGGATCTCTTGGTACAAGTCTCAACTCTTGCGCCATCTACGGACAAAAGGAAGAAACAAACTCAGTAGTCATTTCATTGCATAGCATGCTTGACTTTGTAACATGCCACATCTACAAATTATCTTGAGTAGAAAAGAGCGAAAGACCCGCTGTGGCTTTCTTTGAATATTGAGCACCTTGTCTCGTTGAACTTGACGAGAAGAAAATAATTAAATTAATACAAAAAATTCATTTTAAAAGACAAGGAAATCTGCAAGTGACACTCAAATAAATTCTGACTAACAATTGTTCAGTCAGGTGGGTCAACTCAGGCCTTCATGTAAAACTAGTGGGGAATGTAGTACCCTGAAGATGGGTGTCCTGTAGTCCAGGCCCTGGTTGTTCAAAGAACGGATAACACTATCCAGTGGATAAATTGCTGTCCGGTGGATAAGTGTTCCAAAATACACTGCGCTTTCCTCTGGATAGCGATTTATCCAGTGGATAGAGTTATATCCACCCTGCAAACAACCAAAGCCAGACTGAAAAGTCTCAAGAGATTGTACAGTCTTTGTCATTTATTTATATATTACAATCTATGGATGAAAAAACCAAAGGATGAACTCCAAAGAAGTCTTGTACCCCATATAAAAAAAAAAATCACCTAAAAATATATAAATATAATAGCTACTTAAGAATCACTGAAAAATTTCCTAACTCAAGACTTAAAAATATTTACATTATCACAAACACGAATGTCTACTGGTAGTTGATTCCACTGGTCAGTAATTCCATGGAAAAAACTATACTTTAAGTTATTAGTTCTAGCATATTTCTTCTTTAAAGTTAAAAAATCCTTAGCCCTAAGTGAGTAGCGGTCAGTTTCCGAGTAGAAATCTATAATTTGCACAAGACCTGTTACTCCCACAATGCCTCTCTCTCCATCCAGGAGTAGAAATGGTTACTGGTTGACTGTCACAGTAGACTAACTGAGGGGGTCAATGACCCTCTTCCCTTTCTTTGTGGAATGTTTTCTTTGAAGTCAACTGAACAAAAAAGGAATCAAACTTACTAGAGAATAAACTTGCTATGTATCACTTACTGCTCAGCCAACAAAATGTCACTTTTAGTGAAACAGTGGGAATGTTGAAATGACAATCAGTTACAAAATACCCTGGGTGAGACAAGGTATACCCCACTCCCCTTTTAAAAAGATTCCAACCTGCAATGGTCCACTATTACAGGGGGATAGGTACCACCACTGCCATCCCTTTATGTGAAGGAAAATGAGATGAGCTCTTATGTAGGCAATTTGACTTGTGTAGAAGACTTCTGGACTTATCTTACAGCTGCAGTAAATTTTTTGCTCCAGTTCACCCACACATGAAGAAAGCAATGCCCACCTTTAAACTATTACTCACCAAATACAATAACTTTGAGTCTGTTTCATCATAAATTTGAGTTTCATTGCAAAAGCTTAAACTCCATCTAGCCAAAAGTTCCCAGTCTTTGGACTTGGTGTATACCTTCAGGAAATACAATAAAAGAATTAATGAACATGAAACAATTTACAAAGATCTTAATTCTTTTTGCCCTAAAATCTTGAGAAGTAATGAAACACTGAAAAATGTGATGATTTCTATCAAGCATGAGTCCAGGTTTATTATACTCACACCTACAAAATGCACTTTGCCTTTTACATTACTCAAAAATGGATTTCTTTGGAATGCCAAGACACTATTCTATTGTATGATGATGGTAAAATCTTACCTTGTATGTTACATCAGGCAATCGCAAAAGAATATCTCCAAACAAGGCAGTATTCTCCAAAACGTTTGCTAATGCTGGAAATGGTTTAAATAAATATAAAATCATTGTGGGGGCAACAAAATGGAACAAGAGAGGGAGAAATGAGCAAGGTACTTTAAGAGGCTTTTGTCTCTCAGTTCTCTTTCACTTTCGCGCTTATTGCTAGTTGTTCAAACAAAGTTTAGCCATGGTTTAACAAAACTGTTTTCGAAACTAACTTCGAATTTGTGGTAACTTTAAAATAAACTTCACTTGTTGTAACTAACTTCAAAATTGTTGTAAATCAATAATTGTTGTAAATCAATTGTAAAAAATCAAAAATTTGCTGAAGCTTTTATCTGAACATTTATTTTTGTGAACAGAGTCAAGAGGGCCAAAAGCTAACAGCGGAAGGACATTTATTCAATTACATCAACCCTCTTACAGTGCATGCCTAAGGTCCACTCGGGGCTGTGGTCCATTGATGCCCTGACAGCTTACTTTTCCTCTTGGGCAACTCAGGAATATTAGTTTTTTCTTAAAAAGCATATGCAGGGCACATTGGATTTCACTGTTTCAGAGCATTGGGTTCTCTTCAATTTTTCTTAGAGCATAGCCTTGCCACTGCTTACGAGTGTACAACTGTGGTTTCAGTTAGACCTTCTTTTAACAACTGGCCCTTTAGACCCTACCCACATTTTTGTAAGCCCCTTTTCCTTGTCTAGGTTGTTCAAAACATGGTTAAGCTAACCCAGGTTAGTGTAAATTTTAAATTAAGTTCTTTAGGTCTGCAAAGGGATTTTTCTTTTGTATTTTTTCCCATTAGTTCTGAATCGTATTGAGAGAAGACCCAACAAAACCTTTAGCTCTTATCCACACTCTTCTCAATGAAAATTTAAGCCAAGATCAACTGTTAATCCTAGATTAGCTTTAACGCCCTTTCAAACAACCGGGCCCAGGTTTTCAACATTTTACCTCAGTCAGTCTATAGATTTTCCTTGTAATGGCACTACAATGAAACCTAACATGGGTGGATAATGAAGGAATTTAAATACCTTCTAACTCTGATTTTTCTGTAGGAAATGCTTGTCCAGGTATATAACTTGATGCCGTTACTTTCACCTTTGCATCCTGTAATACCTGTGTGACAAACAGAGAATAAAATATTTTACTGATTGATACACAAGAATAAACTCATTAATGATATCACATCAGTAAGTTTCTACATTTATACACAAACTGCAAATGAGAAAAGGCTTGTTTTAATATAACTGACATGCAAGATGACTTGTGTTAAAAAATTTAAGGATAAATTATAAAAACAGAAGTCATGTTTGGTAAGTAAAATGTATTTAAGAAATGACAACAAGTTGATCATAAAATCTGCTTTAAGTTTCTACAAATAAGATGTAAATAATTACAAATATAATATTACGTCAATTTTGGGTCTAAAATTTTAAATCAGGCAATGTGTCCACCCTTAAACTCCCATGAGTGACCAAGGCACAATTTCTCCTTACAATATCAAGCAAACAAGTGATGAAAAAAAAAATTTAATTAGGGGATTGTTGGTTGATTGAAAAACAACTTCTCTGAACTAACCTCATAAGAATTGCATGGCAGACAGTAAGGAGAATTACTAATGAGATCTTAGAAGTGAAAGGATTGAAGAAATTATTCATGCTGTATGCCAACAGTCCCATAACAGATCACGTCAAACCCGTAGGAGGCTTGGTGCTCTTTTCACGGGAATCAAACGTGTCAAGATGAATATATAAAATATAGCCACTTTAAAAATAAACTTATAATTCTGAAGTGTCACCTGATTTCAAATGGAATTGCATTTCAATGAACAAGGTCTCTAACCAACACTTATTAAACTCTTAGAGTGCTAGTGAATGATAAGCTCAATTCAACCTCGGTTGTAACAAGTAAGACCTAGAACTTACCGTAAACAATTTTTCAAGAACAATTTCAACCATTTTATATTGTTTGGAGTAGTCATTGAGTTTTAGTATACTCTCTGCAGCGAGAGTTTGCTCTCCGCGTTTTTGCTTGAAAATTGCACGATCTGAAAAAACTCAAGTCAAGGAAACACGTAAATGTGACTTGAATTTTAGGGTTCGATTCTGATTAAAAGTTACCGTTATTTAAAACGTGTAGTCAAAGGATACAAACTGAAATCTGTACGTCGTCTTTGTCCGATGATTTATCTTTTGCTGGTCTCTCTGTAGTGTTGCCTATAGACTCCTCGTTTGCCATGACAGAGACTGATGCATACACAATAACGAAAAGGCAATCGAGCAGCGGCCTCATCGCTTTATCTTCAGAATAGTACTTCCAATACCAAAAGATGGCGCTTCTCCACATGGCCGAACCTCAACTCCAAGTTGATAGGAACTCCCCCACCCTACCCCTACGAAGTTCTACGGAAAGCTCGTATCCAGATCTCATCTTCTCTACTGGGGCTAAGAAAATTCGGGAGGGTATCGAGCCGTCTAAAAACGATAACGAACAAGTAACCGAAAGCAAGTATATCGAACTGGTGTCATTTTTTTTGTTGCGTCTGTTAGACAAGCTAAGGGATGGCGAAAGGAGCGCCCAGCACGGAAAAAAATGACGCTTGCCGTCGTTTCTGCCGCGCTCTTTATCTCACACGAGAATTGCACTTCCTGGAGTTAATATTCGACTCACGCCCACCTTACACTAACCTTAGCTGGTCTAAAAAACGCAAAAGGTGACGCCTACCGTCTTTTGTCGCGCCTCTGCTCTTGAGCATGACTCCCTCCCTCTAACGAGACTCCATTTGTATGAAAGCCTATTTTTTTTTCATATAGGCTGCATGAAAACAACAACCAACCAGTAAACAGGAACTCTTTTTATTTTGGGGAAGTGTGAAAAGTGTAAATGAAGTCAGGGAAGTAGAGAAAAAAAGAGTACCTTTGATTAGAGAAAATTAAATATTTCTACGAAAAATTACAAATCTATGTTCTAATGCCAACTAGCTAAAAGAGATTAGCAGTATTCACTACAAACAACCAAAGGAATCAAAAGTCCAGGAATGGACAGACATCTTAAACATACATTCGCATATTTGTACACATCTATGAGCAGAAGAGAATAACCACTATGTGGCGAGAATATGCTCTTGTTTTAACTTCAGTACTCAAAAGAGACTACAACAATCTAAGAAATAAGCAAAGGTCAATTAATGCAAGCTATATGGCTTGGTTCTAGTTTTTCTCACTCCAACTATTCACAGCCATTCTTTTATCTCCTTTTCCCTCTTTTGTTCCCAGCTGGCGGCCTTTGAAGCTGAAACCTAGGTTGTGCACTAAATGCTGATGTCCCTGCACCAAATGTGCTGCCTCCTAGGCCTGTCCCTGTGGAGCCAAAAGCTCCTCCTGATGGAGCCCCTAGAGATGGGGTGCCAAACCCCCCAGAGAGACCTGTAGAGGCACCAAGTCCAGTGGTTCCTAAAGTACCAGCACCTAGGGATGACCCAAATGTACTGGCTCCTGTTATATTAGTACCACCAAGTCCTGGCGTGGTCCCAAATGGATTACTGAGGGAAGGTGTTCCTGTAGCTCCTAAAGATCCTGCTAGACCTGTTGTATTTGTCTGAAGAGTGTTAAGGCCAAATGTTGGAGCTTGTAAAACAAAAGAAAAGCAATATTTGATATCAATGCAGCCACAGTACAAAAGGGAAGTATTTATGAAATTAGGGCTGAAAGTTTCGAAAGAAACTGTTTGGGGCTGCGTCGGTGGGAGTAACGAAATAATTTGGATATATCAACAAAGTTGAAATGGTAAATTGGCCACCGTAACGATTACAAAAGCTGATGTTTTGAGCATTAGCCCTTCGTCATTCGCTCTGACAAAGGGCTAACGCTCGAAACGTCAGCTTTTGTAATCATTACAGTGGCCAATTTACCATTTCAACTTGGTTCATATATCCAAATTACTTATGAAATTACTTCGTATTCAAAATATGTCTAAAACTTGGGCAATGCTTTGTCAGTCTTCATTTTGTGCCCTCCCTGATAATCTGCTCTTTGTGTCATGGTTCTTTGTTTGTACCACACTGACTACACTGTACATACATTATGTAAAACTTACACTCCCTCTCCATACCTGCCATATTTGCCGTAGCTACCACACCCAAGGCTGAGTTGTTGGATGATACCCTGAAAGGACTGGGGCCAAGGCTAAGTTCTGTACCTGATAATTTTTAGATAAAAGTATATGATTTACTTTACAAAAGTGTCCATGATTTAAACACCAGGGATGGAAAGTTTTACTTCATTTACTTGTAGAAATACTTGTAGTTCAGTGATTTCAAACAAGAAAAACTGAAAACTCGTCTGCTTACTTTTTTGTTTCTCCTTACCCTGTTTCATGCCAGTAGGGGTCTGCTTGTAACAGATAGTTACCAACAAAGCCAAAGAAAAAATTGTAACCTTCAGTGTTGTCATTAGAAAATGTAGTATGTGTATAATCCAAACTGAGTAAGTGGCTGAATTGAATTATGCTTGCCTTGAAGGCATGGCCTATTGTATTTTTTTTAGCAATGCACTCTGAGAAGTAGACTTCCAGCATTCTGGGACACATTTGAGAAATGTTTTTAAGCCAGATATTGATGTTAGGATGAGTTAAAAACTTCCCTTTTTCTGTCTTGGATCACAATTCACAGAGAAGCCAAAGCAAAATGGTCAGACAGTTGACCGGTTTCCACTGCCTACAACCCCGAACCTAACATGCTTAACACTTACTGGTCTTTGATAAATCCTTTGAACTGCTTGAGAAAATATCTGTACTGTCCTTTAAGTAAGCCCTTCTGTAATTAAGGTAATGTTCTTTTTGCAACTGTGAGTAATTATAAAAATATCAAATGTTAGAAACAGGAGCAAAATTAGTGTTGTTAACCTGGTTTGTTGTTTTTCAATCTGAGAAACAGGAAACAGATAAGAAAGATCACTGAAAACTGAACAAATGAAATCTGGCTGAACTTTCCTCATTATCTGTCTTTATCTAGAGCTTGTTGCGGCATGAGCTACCAACCACTATGAAAGAACAATGAAATAACATTTGGCTTGGAATTTTTACCTTCACAGCTTCATGGATTTCATGTAGTTTGGCTGCCAGAGCGATAAATGTTTCATGCACTTTGTGCATAACCTCAGAAAGATCTGAATAAACAAAACAAACCAGAAAAAACAACTAAGTTTTCTACTTGCTACTGTTTTGATGACCAAAACAGTCAAACACTTAAGTGGTAAGTGTTATTAGTCAGAAAAACACAGACACCAATATTTGGGATAATCCAGTGACATAACTTATGACCACTTTGTTCAATGGCAACTAACTTTGCAGCAAGATGTAAAATTTTTAAAACTTTGTGTTTAAGATCATCAGCAGAAGTGTCCCAACTATCTGCATACAACACTATATACGATGCTGTGTTTCTGCAAGTTGTAAAAATATTGCCTCAAGCTACTCAATTATTATGCAGTGAGATGTTGTGTAAACCCCCAAGAAAAATTTTTCAGATATATAAAATTCCCGATGAGCATTTTGTGATTTAAAAGAGGTTGAGCTTGGAGCTCTGAGATCCTCTGTAGACATGCTCAACACACACCTTGTGGGGTCAATGTTTGCCCTTGGGACATGGAAGCAAGATGGCTCTCCATAATCTCAATTTGTTTCCTGTACATCAACATCCTTTCTTCAAATGACTCCACCAAGCGCTGAAAATACTCCTGAGGTGCCACATTCTCGTGTTGTAAGGGTTGAGGAATATCATTGGTTCTTTGTGCAATTTCAGCATTCTTCAGCTCCTGGAGATCAAAAAAAAGTTTCATGTTTCCAATTTCATTTTCATAAACAAGGAGTTAAAACTATCAGAAACAAATTCACCTAATGATATGTGCAACTTCTATTTCACAGTTATATAAAAAGAACTAGTGAAACAAATTCTCAACTCAATGAATTTGATTATACGAAAATCATATATGTGTACTGCAGTTTAATGAAATGCATGAAAGCAATCCTCACAGTAATGAACCCTACTTATGTAGTAGTAATAATTTATAATAATAATAATTCATTCTTTATATAGCACGTGGACCATAGGAAGATGCTCCCAAGCGCTTTACAACATGCATGCAAGTAACCCACCATGCCACCCTGGGAGGACATCCACCACACAGTAATCTCGTGATTGGGAAATTAACGTCTCCTACCCCTAACCCTGCAGGAGACGGGACCTACGGTTTTATTCATCCTTATCCAAGAAGACTAGAATACCTATCCATTTCTCGATATTATAGAAAGGTAGCAAATTCTCCTCATTTATTTTAAGACCCTGAGTATTGGTCCGGCCGGGGCTCAAACCCTCAACCTCCCACACAACACAATCAGGCGCTCTAACCAATTGAGCTAACCAGGAAGCGGTTAGCAGGAAATAAGTCTTCTCGAAACACTGAGGTAGAGGGAAAGGGCTTGGAAGTATTCTTAGGATGAATAACTAACAAAAATTCTTGCAGACCCCAAGTGTTTAGATAAGGCTCTGCAAGCATAGAAAAAGTCCTCTTCCACTTAAAAGCAGAGAAACTTACCTGGGATACATCAATTTTGAGGTTTTCCACAGAACATCCATCTCGCTGAATACTGTTAGATACCAGGGCTAAAGCCTGTCTAAGGGCAATGGTTTCTTCTCTTACTTTATCTAATAAACTTCCTGATGCTCTGGAAATCTCATCTTTGTATTCTTTTTGTTCTTTGACATATTTTCTATGACAAAACAACAGCAATTTAGAGGAATGAAACAGTCATCCCTCCAAGAGCCAAACTACTCAGAATCTTCAAAGCCGCAGAGGTATGCATTTCAGATG